CGTATAATTTAGTTCAGCGTCGATCATTTATCATCCTTAGAAGAAAATATTCTGATCTTTACGTTTAACTATAAAATTGCTTTGGCTTACATTGTGCGCATAAAAGGAGCGTTAAATTAAACATGAGTTGATTCCACGCGAGGGTTTTACCTGGAAAAATGCCTGCACACGAGAGACACCGACATTACCGCGTGTCCCTTTCTGGAAAACATTCGTGTTATGACAAGAAAGGTCAGCTTAAGGGTTTTGGGTTACCCAAACTATGCAATTTTGACGCCGAAAAGTGCCAAAAAGTAATTACAGAAACTTCATCCGCAACACCTTGAACGTGCTGTGGGCGCGAACTGAGATCTTCTCTTACAGTTAATAATTGCCAGGCGGAACTCAGATCCGGCTTAGCCTAATTTGCATAAATTTTTTTGGTGGGCAAAGCTCGTCATGTTGTGTTTAAGTCGCTTTTCTTTTCTTTGTTTTGTTCTGCAAGTTTGCCTTAGTTGCTTCAGAATTTCTCTTCCGTTTCTTGCACGACTGCGATCCAAACAAAACCGGGAAACTTGCTTACGGTTCTGGACTCGATCGATGAACGGCATTTTACTTGAGTCCAGGCGTTTACGGTGAAACATGGTAATGAGTCCTTATGTTCCAAAATGGCGGCCAAGCGTCTCCACGCGGTGCAGAAAGAACTTACTAGTTTCTTTGGCTTCTCGCAAAGAGGATCGAAGAACGCTAAAGGTACGTTTTAAATTTTACTTGATATTGAAATAGTTTTTTTAATTCCTTAAATGCCAATACAAATTTTTTCTCACTCTGAAAGCTGACCTATTTCAATGTTACAATAAGCCGGCAAGACCTTACAACGTCATGCACTATAAATGAAGTTTTTCAGTTTTTTCATCACTGACATAATAGTTGTTTTTTTGTTTCCTGGAACAAGCCTGGCAGCATTTTATTTTTCAGGCATAGAACCTGAGCCCCCATCAAGTCCAAATGTTGGAGAATGTGTGAGCCTTCAAGTATTCACAGTTCGTCTTGTGCTGCCAGGCCCTCACCAAGTGGCAACGATCCTTCTTTAAACACTGGGCCTTCCGCAAGCATGGAAAGCTCTTCCTTAAGCATTTCTCGACCTCTTTTAAGCAGTGGTTGTTCTTTACCAAACCCAGCTTTATCCAAGCCTGTTATAGAACCAAGTGAGATGAGAAAGTTTATCTCTGATACTTTCGACTTTGTTGATGACATTTCTCGTGCACGTCATTCATATTATCACTGCCTTAAGGAAAACTGTCAAAGTGTATGCAATTTAGTTGCAAGTACGTTTATTTCATAGAAAGAAAGGTAAATTACAGAAAAAATGGCTCTCTAATAAAGAGCTCACATACTTCAATGAGACTGGATTGTTTGGCTTTTGTATGCTGAATGCAAGGGAATGTACTGCATTCTCTGCTCCAAGCACTAAACAAGAAATAAACAAAACCAGGCTGATATCTTTACTGGGAAACCTGGAACTAGATATACCGGTAAGAAATCTGCATTACAATCACATGCTGACTCTGATCGTCATAAGGCAGCCATCGAAGCAGAGGTACTGCAGAAAAATTCTCAGTTTGCTAAGGAACTGGCAGAAAAAGCTGCTAAGGGAGACACGACTATGTTCTCTTCTTTTATGTCAGCATATTGGCTGGCAAAAACATAAAGTGGCCAACCCAAAACTGTTGTCCCTTCTTAAACTTCTTGAAACATCTGGAGTAGAGCATATGAAATATTTTTCATACAAAGGTGAGGAAACACTTGCTGATATTTTCTAACAATTGGTGAAGTAATCCAAGATACAATCATAAAACAAGCAACTCAAGCTGGATGCTATGGCTTTTAATGGATGAAGTAACTGATATTTCAGTTTTAGTAACTTTCACATCGTATGTTCAAGATGGGGAAGTGAAAACATATTTATTTTTTTGTTGAAGACCTCCTCAGCTGATGCAAACACTATCTATACAGTTGCTACGACAAGGCTTTGTCTCTCAAACTTGAGCCGAATAAACTGGCACCAATTGTTACTGATGGAGCAAGTGTGACGACGGGCCATAAATCAGGTGTTGCTGCACTTTTAAAGGAAAGAGTTAACAAGTCCCTGATCAATGTTCATTGCTTAGCTCACCGCCTTGCTCTTTCAAGTACAGATACAGCAAAGGATATAAAGTATATCATTACAGTTCAAAATTGGATGAAACAACTGTGGAAATGCTAGCAAGGAAGCTCATAAGAAGTTCAAGAAAGCTTGCTCAATGAGATGGCTTTCCTTTGATGCTGCAACACAAGCAGTGTATGCCGATTATGCAGCTATTCTCATTACACTCTCAGAGTTATCAGCAAGTGATCCTACAGCTAAAGGTCTTCTTCATGAAATAAAAACAACCAAATTCTCGGGAACAGTTTACATTTTGAAAGAAGTTCTCCCAGAGCTCTCAAAATTGAGTTAAGCTTTTCAGTACAGCAAGACCAATTTCTGAACTGTGCAATCATCTGTTGACTACAAAATTGATAGATTAAGGAAAATTAAGAAGGAGATGACTCCACTCAAGAATGTTAAAGCTGATTTGGACCCTCGTATCGAGGACCTCCTAAGAAAGTTGTGGAAGTATCTGGAAAATTTACTTGAAAGTGCAGCAAGAAGTTAAGTCTTTTGACTTGTCAGAGAAGAGCATAAAGGTAATAACCAAGAAGCTCAAGAAAGCTTGTCAAACTAGATGGTTGTCGCTTGATCATGCAGTAGAAGCCATATTCCATGACTTAGAAGCATTAATGCGCACATTAAGACTTCTTGATAGTGATGCAACAGCCTGTGGGCTACTGAAGAAAATACTCTGTCCCAAATTCATTGGATGTGTGTATATTATTCTCAAGCACATTCTTCGTGTCCTCTCTCAGGTGAGCAAAACATTCTAAAGAGGAATTAATCACGCTAAACACAAGCCACAAGACATCGTAGATGAAAGGTTGCCACTGAAGCAGTTCAAGCAGGATTTCAAAGCGGAGGGCAAGCTAGCGACCCTAGAGCTTACACCGACAGAATTTCAATTCCAGCAACAAGAACAGCTTCTGCTTCGATACGTCGCTTCGTTGAAGGCTAATATTGATCAGCGTTTCAGCAGTGCCCTGTCAGTCCTTAGTGCATTTGCAGTTTTTGATGTTATGATGGCTCCACCTCCTGAAAGTGCAAACTTCAAGGAGTATGGGCTCAAACACATCGAAACACTTGCTAAACATTTTTACAATAAGTCCAATCTTAGTTGTGAAATGAAGAGGCAACAGCTCCAGGCAGAATGGGGAAAGTTTAAGTTTGATTTGTTGGAGTTGAAAAAAATCGTTCCCAAGGATGTTTTTGATGGTAAATGTCCAACTGTGACTACCACAACATGGACACACTTCATCATATGCTGAAAAAGCCGTCCTACAGGCATTTTTATTCCCTATTTATTAACCTTGCTGAATGTTGCCTTTCAATTCCCATTTCGAATGCATAACCAGAAGGTGGTGCAAGTGCTCTCAAGCACATCAAAACCAGGCTTCGATCAAGGCTTCAAAATGACATGCTGCATATGAACATGGGGAAAAATGATTTCTGTTGCGCCCCTGGTTGTTCCAATGTAGAAAAACAAGAGGAGAATTGTGTTACGATATGTGATAGATTTAGTATCGCAAGGGTTTTCGGGTGTCAGTATTACGAATGAATAAAGGCTGATAGTTTTTAAAGAAACTGTTTGGGGCTGCGTCGGTGGGGGTAACGAAATAATTTGAATATATCAACAAAGTTGAAATGGTATATTGGCCACCGTTACGATTATAACATTCGCACCGACGAAGGCCACCGTTACGATTATTACATTCGCTCCGACGAAGGGCTAACGCTCGAAACGTCAGCTTTTCTAATCGTAACAGTGGTACCATTTCAACTTTGTTGATATATTCAAATTAGTCAGTATTACGCCCGCTGTAGGCCAGCGGACATAGAGTCTTCGCGGGAACACGATGGAAGCCGCTAGGCCGTGAAGCTTTCCGTGTTTTGGAGCTAAAATAAAGGACTTGTCTTAGCAATGAGTTGCCGTAACAATTTGCAGTTTTATTGTATTCCAAAGGATATTAACCGAAGAAGGGTTTGGTAGAAGAGAATTCGTAGGAAGAACTTCTCGCCGACTGACAACACGCGGCTCTGCTCAGTGCATTTCTTTGGAGGTCAGAAATCTGATGAAATAGACAGTGTGTCCTACAGTCCTTCCATTTTCAAATACAGCCATGTGAAACGAAAGCTTACAAGGTCAACAAAAAACAGCTTAGCGACGACCAGAGTGTCAAAGGCACTCCCACATGACCGAAGGAAAGGTCGAAAACTGGTAAGGGACGTAAGGAGCACTTTGTGTTTTGACGAGGGGACGTTCCAGTTTGCATTAGTAGTGTGAAATAATCGGGCAAATACATTCTGAACGGTTTTCTTTCTGTTGTTTCGTTTCCGTTTAGCAAGCTGAAACTGCAAAAGGGCGTCCTAAACCAGAGGTTTGTAGTCCAGAAAACCCTAAAGTGTGGAGTCAGTGTTTACCAGCAGACAACCCATTAAAAGAGCATGATTATTGCAAGGGGCAGGTAGATTTGCAGTCAATGAACACAGAACAATCCATAGTCAATGAACTGCTAGAACTGTACTGCAGAGTAAAAGAACTTGATGAGGAAAAACGAAAATCTCCGTTCAAAATGCCTTCTCTTAGAACAAGTAAGGCTAGACGACAGCAAATTCCAATTTTGAACTGGGTTCCCCAGCTATGAAACCTTCGCAGCTTTGTTGTAACTACCTGGAAGGTGTTGGAGCTATAGGAAGAATGAGACAATGGAGAGGTAGTAAAATGTTTTCAAAGAATCCTTATCCAAAGAAAGCAGCTAGAATTGCCAAGCTGACTCCAGAAGAACTATTCATGGTTCTTGAACGATTAAGGGTAGGACTGACCATAACTGACTTGTCGTTACGATTTGGAATAAGCGAGTCTAGTCTCACTACGATCTTTACCTCATGGATTAATGTGCTGTTCTTTCATTTAAAAGATTTGTGTGAAATGGATGGAAAGGCAAAGCAGTTTTCCAAATTCCCATGCTTGAAAGTAATCATTGATTGTACAGAAATTTTTACTCAAAAGCCTTCGTGCCTACAAGCCAACAAAGATATATACTCCAAAGGTCACACAACCTTTGATTTCCTTGTTAGAATAGACCCCCATGGGGCTATTGTGTGTCTCACAAGCTGGGGTGGAAGGACATCTCACAAACATATCACTGCCAACTCCCCTGGCTTAACTACAAAATTGAACAGGGGTGATGAGCTTATGGCAGACCGAGGATTTGCTGTACATGACCCGTTTGCTGATATGGGCGTGAAAGTGACCACTCCAGATTTCAAAAGGGAAGGAAGATCTCAACGAAACAAAATGGAAGGAAAATTATCAGAAAAAATTGCAGAGGCAAGAATTCATGTTGAAAGGGCAATTCAACAAATTAAATCATTTCACATTTTAGACGATGAAGTCCACTTATGCATGGCTCATTTGGCTGAGTAAATATTCAGTCTGTTCCTACTTGATTAATTTTCAAAGCCCAATTTTACAGCAATAACATGATTATTGGGTTGTGCCTTTATCCACTGAACAAAAACTATTAGTTTAAATAGAGCATGAGAATAGTCTATCCACACGAGAAAAGTTAAAATTCCAAAGAGAGGGGGGTTGAGAAGTTTTTGTTTTCCTCAGGCATTTTTTTAAAGAGAGTTGGTTTTTTAGAACAACCCTTCCTCCACTTACTCTAAGATGAAACACGAATCGCCAAGTAGAGGTATTTTCTGAGGGGTGGAGAGCCAAGTAGTGGTGGGGAGGTGCAGGGGGGGGGGGTGTTGGACCCTAAAACTCTCTGAGTGGTATGGATATTGTCTGGAACAATGCACTAAAACAACTGTAACTCTGGTCAGTAAAAACATGAGAAATTACTTGCCCTTGTAAGTTGTAAACATGCTGTTCAGCACAGCCCTGGACAAGACAACTAAATTTTATTGAAACTACGTGTTAATTAACTAGCAACAGGAAGGTGATAAACAGTATTTTGGCTCTAAGATAGTTAAATTCTGAAGATGAATTGGGTGAGAAGGCCTTTAAGGCAAAACATTTTCCTAATGGAAAAAATTTGAAGTGAACACTACAAAAAATAGAAATCTAGATATGATCTGCCTTGATTGATCAAAACACAGCCAGGGTACTGCTAAGTTCAACTAACTAGCTTGGCCTCCCCTCCTCCATTTGCGACTAGACAGCCTGAAGCTACTGCTTAAAAACTTCCCCATGCCCTGGCCACAAGTGGCCTATGCAAGGGCTCCAGGTTGCTGAATCTGGCCCGCAGAAAGCAGAACCAATACTGGCCATAAATCAAATGAAAGTATTGGAGATGGTATAAGGCTCAATTTACCCACTGACCCTCCCCCAAAGCAGCCTGTCCCAGGTGTCAGTGACAGACTCCCCTTCAATTCTCTTAGATGCCAGTGGGTTGGGAGCGTCCATGTTTTGTCAAATCAAGACAGAAAATAAATCATGTATATTTTACTACATGTAATGAAAAAGGTAACAACAGTGATTAGATAACTACAGAGAAGAGTTATCTTTGATAACAACAGGCAGGAGGTGTTTGAAATAAAACTCTGTGAGCTTTGGCAGCCACTCAGACTCCCATTTATTTTTTTCAAAGTGAATTCTTTGGACAAACAATCCATTTAAGCCAAGACAAAGATCTGTCAACATAGCAAAGTCAAACCATTGTATTCCTGATACTCCTTCCTGACCCTGGACCTGGTAAAAGTAATTGTGATTTCATTCAGCTGTAGATGGCCATCTTTCATTTTCAGGCAGAAAGATTTCTTTTTGCCTTCTTTTGGAGCTTGCTTACTTTTAAATGCTTCCAATGGTGTCACCCCCTGTGCAGATTCAATATATTTCACTTCCAAACCACCAGTTGATGGCTTAGCATTGGGATCATAACCTAGCCTGTCTGGAGAAGCTCCCAACCCAGGAAAGTGTGGATTAATTACAAGGCCACAGTGGAAAACCTTAGTTCTAGGAGAACCATGTGAATTTTGATATCGTACATAGAGCTGAGAAGCCACATCTTCATTTTCTTTGCCAAGTCTAATGGCTTTCAAGTGAGGCATAGAATCACAAGTGGTAGATAAGCGGTTTGCAAGTTTTAACACATCTGCCTTTTACATTTAATTATGTTTCCAAAATTAGAAGCTGTCAATCTGAGTTTTCTTTGTTTAAACCAAAGCTCACTAGAGGATTGAGGCTGAGTTTCTTTTTCAATTTCCCAGCCCCGTGCTGCTGAATTGAAACCTTGACATTGTTATAATTGTAGAAGTCAAAAGCATGGTAACTCATGGGAGGTATTGAAGGAATTTGAACTGGATAGGTAATCGGGGGTTGAAACGTATTCTCTTCATCAAATGTGCCATTTTCACAGAATAATGTAACAGGAACTAAGGAAACCTGACTTTCTTTGGACGATTTACACTGTTCAGCTGGAGAAATCACAAGCAATAGAGTTGTGTTCTCCTTGGGTGTTTTTTGACATGGAGCTGATATAATCTGTGGGAGAGAAACATTGTCAGAGGATATTTGCACATGAGGAGTGGCTTCAACATCAACAGCATAACCAGGTAGTAGTCTGGGATCATCCTCATCCAGCTCTTTTGGTAGCTTGTGGGTTTCAGCAAATGCACATTCAGATTTCATGAACTTGCATTTTAGTAGATAATAAACAGGTGGCATGGACTTGTCTTTGTTCGCAGCAAGTATTGCCATTTTTAAGTTCTGCTTCATTTGTTTATCAGTCTCTTCACTTACGTAATTTCTAGAAACTCCAAAAAATTGCACCGAGACTGTAGGGGTTGCTCTAAATTTCTTTGCTAGAGGCTGCTCATCAAATCTTGATTTATAAAAATGGATTTGTTCAGTGGTTACTGGATCAACAGAGGTACCTTAAAGAAGAAATTGATTGAAAATTATTTTGAACAGTTCTTTCTAATTCAGGAAACTATGGGTAGATATACTATTTTCAAATGAAATTAAAAAGGAAAGTGACATGTAAGCTAAGCTAAGTTTTGTTTACCTTTAGGATTTGACCAGCTACAAGGTAGTTCTGTGCAGGTTGGATCTGCTGGCAAGGTAGTTTTGCCTTCGGAAACAATGTCACAAAGTACAAATAACAGAGCACCAGCATGGCTGCAGTCACCTCCTTATCTGTAGGAGTAATAAATAGAAATTTACCAAACCCCTAACATACAATAAACTGCTTTAGAAAGCTGAGTGGTGTCAAAGATCATTCAATAAAATAATGTAATTTATTAAGTGTAATTTTAGGCAGCCAATACGTTACAGGAAAGTTGGTATTGAAAGGTTTCATTTTCCAGGACAGCTAGTCAACCAAATAACACACCTGAATTCTGTCATCAACATACTAAGGATCATAAAAACAGGCCTGAATGAAAATACAATAACTTGCCTGTTACAGTGACAGCAAGAACAAAATGTACTGATCACAGTATGTTTTACTTTTCTGAATTGAGTACAGATAAGTTGTAAAACATAATTGATTACCTTACCCAACAGTGAGAGAACAGTAAGCATAAACAGGCTTGCTGGTATCTTTCTCAAGCACTATATACACAATCTTTGTTTCCTCTGGGTCCATGGATAAAGATGGATTGCAGCATCCCCTTAGGGCCTACATGGTAGGATGTTCTGGCAAAGAACAAACCCTAAAAGATCAGATCAAAATAATATGTAACCACTTTAAAATCAGGCTGAAAAAAATGTAGAGTTTTTACAAATACCATAAAGAGAACTAAATCAATCTCTACACTGAAACAGATACATAAGCATGTGCTGCAGCATTAAACATTTAACACAAAACCAATTAATAGTCTCCCTCAGTTTCCATGACAGTTGACACAGCTCCAACTGAAAAATAAATCACCACATTGTTATATTACAGAGTCGTTTGGGCCACGGTTTCGCAATTAATTTGTCCGCATATCTGATGCAAATGAGGAGTCTACTGAGATATGTTATACTCACTGCTTACTTAACTGAGTGAATTGCTGCCAAGCTCGAAGGGTCTTGTACTTTCTCACATCAGTTTGGCTGTAACCAACCTCAAGCAAAAATTCCTTAACAAGAGCCTCATCCATTGGCTGCGGGATAGTTAGCAAACTTTTCTTCCAGTCTTTTAGCTTCTGGAGCTCCATAATCGAAGGTATCTTCGAAGAGGAGATATCCTGCATCTCGCCAACAAGATTCCATTTCGAGTCCGGCCTTGATGCAGAGCTCTTTTTCCAAAACTTTTCTCTATGTCAACACCTAAGCTCTTACAAATTTGTTTCAGCTTTGCCTTCCCTAATTTTGACACATCTTTGAACGATTTTAAGATTGTGGCCGGTAAGACGCAAATCCTCCTCTCTTGCCGACATTTTGGTTTTCCTCATTTAGTTTACCCCAAGGCGCGAAGCATTGTGGGATCGTGACAGTTCCGCGCAGGCGCATCACGAACATATACTTCATTTTTTTCAGCCAATCAGCAGTTTTTCCGCCGTGTCTTCATGTCGAAATTTTTCCGTCGTTAAGCGTTCATGATGACGAATGTTTATTCTGCGAAATGCCCGACAACAGAAGTTGAAACTAGGACAACACATAGTTCCTATTCTTCAAGTGTAAGTTCTTTCTTAAGCTCTGTTCTCAGATACCGATACGTCTACAGAGATCACAGATTATCGAGTATTCAATTGTTGGAAGAATTGTTGAATACCCTTAGTCTGGGTCAGCTTGGATGGAAGTACGTCGGTACTGAAAGTACATCGGAAGGTCACATAGAAGCACTTGGTGACATTGATAATATGTGGGTTGATCCAGGTGTTCAAGTAGTGTTTGAAAATCACACTGTTACGGAAAGGAAAGGACGTGATGTGCACCTCCTTACTGCAAAGTCATTCGACCATCCTGGATTTTACCGCCTTTTCAATGAGTCTGGTGAGTTACCCAAATACTATAAGCAATGTGAAGATCAGGTTTCTGAGGGCCTTGCCTACATTTCCAGCGAAATGTTCATGATAACAATGTTTAAAATGTTGACGGCAGTAATCGATGCCGAAAGTCACAAAGGCCCAGCAATTCAACGGCCTGCCTTGTCACAAATTCACATGAAAACAGACAATGTGTTTGCTCTTTATTGTCCAGAATGGCCAGATTTTGTCAGACAGGTTCGCTTTAAAAATTCCAAATGGCCATGTGGAAAGGCCCTACAACAGTTAGCCAGAGCTGGTTGCCATGTTGTTCCCATTGGTAAACATAACAGTTCAACCAAATCTCTGGAATGGAGGCTTTCATTTTCCTCAGCAGAAAAAATCATTATGCATTCCCTGATCAACTCCACTCAGTTGTATACTTACAACATGTTGAAGCTCCTCCTGTCCCATCTCATGAAAGAATACAAGGTTGTTGATGAGGTACTGTGTACATACTATATCAAAACTGTCTTTTTCTTTGCCATTGAAGAAGAGCCTGAGTGTAGTTGGAAGGAAAGTGCTTTGCTGGATTGTATTCATTTGGTGAAATCTCGGTTATGTAATTGTTTGAGAAACCAATTGCTGCGAAACTTTTTTGTTCCGGAGAATAACATGATTCAGCATCTTCCATTTCAGTCATGCAGCGAAGTGGCAGACCTCATTCATAACAGAATCTTGTCAAAATTGGATATAGTACTCATCCATCTGGTAAAGCTTGGTACAGTGGCTTTAGAAGAACATAATTGTTTGGCTAAATTGACATCACTGCCAGAAATGACAGATTACAGTGATGGTGGAAGCTCAGAATCAATCTCTCAAACAATGATTGAAGCATTAAGAAATCTGTCTCCTGCTATAGAAGAACATTTTTTAACAACAGTTGAATCTACATTTTGTGAAGGAAGCATGTTATCACGTGACCGGTACCGGATGCAAATTAGGAATGACTTACAAAACTTCCTTGACCCCGTTTTTTATAACACTTTACCAGCACAACTTTCCTTGAGGAAGCTGGAACAGGGATTATTGCCCTTTATTGACCATGTACCTACACTGTTTCCAGCCCCAACTGCAAACTGTTTTGTGCAGATTTTGTATAGAGCATGTGGAAATGTTTGCCACCAAGCATCACAGGTGGCAGAACTTGACAGAGAAAAACAAATGTGGCAGGACAAGGCTGAATGTTACTACCAGAGAGGGAGATATGTTGTGTACAATGATGGATTTGATGATAGGGGCTTCTCTGGCACAGTTCACTTGATGCAGTTTTACTACCTGAATGGAAACTTTGATGCTTGTTTTCAACAAATAATTTCCATTCAAGAATTTTTAAACTTTGACTCCTTTGAGGAAGTCAAGGATATCTGTAGATATGGTGTTTTGACTGAAATATGCAATCCTGTCCATTTGCCTCAATTGATGAAAACAGACCCTAGTCTGCACAAATATTTCAGTTCCTTGAAATCTGGAGATTCAAAATTCATTAATTCAATGGCTTTTGCTTACTACATGAGTATCAAAGTAACTCAGAAAAGGGAACAAGGAAAATGGCCAGAGTCACTCATAAGAAGGTTTGAGAATTTCTGCCAACACTTTTTGCATCTTCAAGATCCTTTAAGAATTGACAAAGTAGCAAGAGAATCATGTGAAAAACTTAGAGACATATTAAAGCAGGAAACCTAAAAAGATACAGTAAACCCCTCTGAATTAGAGCAGGGTGTTTAAAAATGTGATGGAATAGGATGTTGTTACTGGTGCTAGAACTCATACAATGCTTACGTTTCAGTCTGTCGTCTTTTTTGTGTAGTTTCTAATGTAATGTTTGTATACCTTCCTTTAACAAACACTCCCTTTAGTGTTAATAAGGAGTTTGTAATGTCCCAAGAAGTTACTGCAGTCAAAATTCAGAAATTACAGCAACAATACTGCTAGTAGAATGTACTTGTATCCCTGTGCAGATGTCACGTGGTGTTCATTGTTTAACTTAATAGACCATTTATTTTTACACTTCTCTGCTCAGTGACCTGGCCTTTGAATGGCAGCAAGGCTGGAGGTGACCTTACTTTGATACATACATCTCTCATTTTTTTCATGTGAATGCCCCTAATTAGCATAAGAACAACTTGATTTATGCAACAAAAGCAGTGAGGTCTGTATCAAAACAAGGTGACCTCCAGCCTTGCTGCCATGCAAAGGTCTATTGATCTCTGAGTTGTCAGTTCACATTCCTTTTTGTGTTCAAGTCAACATTAATCCCATCCCAGTGAATACTGTGATTTAAAAGTGACTAGCATTAAGAGAAGCCATAGTTTATGGCCTCAGAAATACTCCTAGGCCAAAATGGTTTGTTGCCACCTTTACCTGGCCCCCTAAAATTTAATGTTTTATGTTCTTAACAATGTCAAGAGATTCCCTGACCATTTGGCAAACTTTAATCAGATTGGCCACAAAAAGGCACTGATTTTTGTTAGACTACCCTGAAAGCTTGTGCTGGCAAAAAATTGACAAAGTTTGCTTTTAATGAAGAAAAATAAGATGGTTTTTTGGCTTATGTTTCTTTATTTTTGTTTATTTTGCTGTAATTGTTTTTGGTTGTTTATTTTAAAGATTCTATCCATCTGGGTATCTTATTCTAAGGGCCTGGCTAAACAAGGAAACACTGTCGCAGAGGCAATTGTTCCAGTTTAGCCACATGGGAAACATGCTACGGAAACAAATTTTGCTGCTTGGAAACAAGAAAATGATTTTGCCTCAGGTCAAAAACATTGTACTTCCCGGACACAATATTGGCTACTGACACGTTATCAGTTTAGCCACCATAAAAGCAATGCATGTTGCAATGACATGCATGAGTGCATGTGGATCATAAAAATAAATTTGTGGATGAATGGAGGATCAAAGGAAATCAGAAGGGCATCTGTAATAGTTAACAAGCAAGTGGCTCTTGTTATTGTAAAGCTTATGGACTGCCAAAAATCCCAGCATAGCCAATCAAACCCAATTGAACTGTATTTCAATCAAAGTCAATCAAACTAAATCAAACTTGATCCATGGATTGAGTTCAGCGGTCAAACTAAATCGAACTCGCACAAAAATAATTGGACAATTGAACTAAACAAAACACAATCCAGTGGATTGTGTCCAATTGTTCATTGATTAAATTCACTTGAACAAAGATTATGTTATGTGCTCTTGAAACACAAAAAACATTTGTTATACTGAACTCGAGTCTCGAAAAGCTTGTTATTGATTTTCAACACCAGTTCTACAAAAAATCAAAAGTTCGATGTAGTTCGATTGTCTAATTATTCTTATGAGTTTGGTTAGATTGCTGAACTCAGTTGAACTCAATCCATGGACCGAGTTTTATTTAGTTCAATCGAGTTCAATCGAAATACAGTTGGATTAGGTTTGATTGACTATGCCAGTATAATTAGATAAGGGTTTCAAGCTTTTGGTGTCTAGCCTGTAAAACTCCACCCCTCATACCTAAAATATCAGTTTTTTCAATGTGCACAGTGTCTAGAAATGTTGAAATGAGAATTTGGCACATCAAAACAATTTCCCCAAATGATGATTTTTCCTCATAATTTCTTATATCCTCTGCTTTTTAATGTGTTAATCAAGGAAAAATGGAGTGTCATTCATTGTTCATTTGATTGGTCAGTAGAACTTACTCTCAAAGTCAATTTTCTCCGCAGTATTCTTGGACTTGATACAAGTTTCCTGGTTTTACAAATGAATACTTTTCCGTCATCCTTGATTGTCCAGTCTTGAACTTCTATCCAATCATCCAGTTTTTCACCTGAAAATTGTTGGCATCAATCACATGTAACAGAATCACTTAATAGACCCTTTCCATAAATGAAAATTTTCAACCCCCTTCAAATTTTACATGCAGTTAGGCACTCAGGGGGGGATGTACAAAAATGTCCTTTTTAAAGGTTGCAGCACTCTTGTTGCCATGATAACAACAGCTGCTGGTTCGAGGCCTGGGGCGTTATTTTTATACAAAAACATCGTAAGAAAAGTGTTATATGTTTATTTCTCTATCTCAAGCTAAATACAATATTACAGATTGGTACTTCTAGCATACATGGTGACATCATTCCACTTTACTTTGATGCATTCAGTTTTCCCTGGGAGTGAATGTGAACTTCCCAATAGATTTTTTACCGTGGTATGATAAAAGCACATATGATGGATGAGTTACTATTGCGTATTAATCACCCTACTTTGTATAATAGAAGGATTCATACTATTTTAATAATTTTATTTAAGGCCTTGCATGGACTTGTTCCTGAAT